TAAGTGCCTTGAGCTTATCAAGGACTTTGGTTTGTAGTTGCCTACGTCGGGGAAGGTCGGGAGTGTTATTGAAATCAAGCGTGACGCGAAGAAAATTCGTGCGACCCGACGGGCCTGACATGTCCTTGAGTAGTTCTCCCAAACCTGCCGCTTGGAATAGGTTTTTTACTTCTTCCTCAGCTTCGGAAACCCTGGCGTCTGTCCAGCCTCCAATTACCAAGCCTAAGTCCTGGTCAGGCGCTCGGAGTGGGTCGGAGAAGTTGTTGTTAGGGTTGCTTCTGGGGCTTCTGGGACTAACATTTCCTCCATGTCTGCTGCCACGTGGGGTATCAGGTGCCCTAGGAGGGGTCATAGACCTAGACTTGCGATCGAGTTCGACAACTGCTTTTTCAAGAGCGGTAATGCGATCTAGTGTGGCTTCATGATTATCAGTATGCTCCTTTGCGATGGCCTCGAGTGTCGCAATTCTTGTGTCATGCTGTGATACACTAGTACCTAGCTGCACACAGTAGTCATGGGTACGATCGCTCTTAAGGTGAAGTCCTTGGATGGAATCCGTTAAACCCTTCAACCACTCGGGAGCAGAGTCAGTTGTCCTAGCCAACGACGGGAAAACTCCAGCTGCAGGGTGTTCGGGCAGGGAGGGCGGGGGGTTCATCCGAGGTTCAGCACCTTGTAGTTCATCATCATCATTGCTTGTCAGGTCGAAAACTTCATGTGTTGTGCCTACCCTGGGGGCGGAATCCATAGGCGAGTCCTGTTGTGTTTCCGATTCTTTGATTTCGAGCTTAATCTTCTTGGGTTCGGGAGCCTTTTTGTCCGCATCTGCATCCGAGGACTCTTGTCTGTTAGCGATCTGGCCTTGTTCAAGGACAGAATGATGGCTGCTAGTCACGGGTGGAAGTTGGGTCCTCTCATGGTTCTCTCGGGGGTCTGACTTGGATCCGGCAACGGGGGGACGAGCCAGCGCTCTCTCAGGCTTGGGTGTTCTCTCTCGGGTGCGCCCTCTCTCGGCTCCATCACGCGGCATGATAACCGAAACAGCAGCAAGAAGCAAGTGCAAGGTGGCAAGGTGGCAGTCAGTGCAAGGCAAGGCAGGCAGTGCAAAGGAAAGGAAGAACAGTGCAAAGGAAGGACAGTGCAGTACGCAGACGAGAGGGCCAAGCGCAAGGAGTGAGGGAGAGAACGCGAGCCCGGACTCGCTAGGGCGGGGGGGTCTTGTTCCGAGTACTTGGAGGACTGATAGTCTCGAGCCGACACTTGAGCCGTAGCCATTTATACCATGATTTTATGATAAATGCATGTATGTCCATACAATATCTATATGTACATAGGCACAGTGACAAGCATGGCTGCAGTTGCACAGAGTGGCCTTAGCGGCCATTCGCCCGACGACGAAGCGTTCAGTGTTCGGCACTCAGGCGCGGACTGGCCGGGACTGAAGCAATATATATATATATATATATACATACATATCACATTCATGTTGCAATGTTGCTTTCCACTTACTAGTAGCTGCTATAGTACAGGCCCCAGTTGCTGTTGTCACTCCAAGGCTGGCCTTCGAGCGCGGCTATATCGCTATATTTGTGCAGGACGATCTTTAATCAGCCACAGTCTGTGGGTCGGTGAGGCTGCGGAGATTTGGGTGTTGATAAAGATACTGCTCAAGCGAGGATCCGGGCTTTGAGCAAAACGCCACGGACAGCCAGATGCAAGCATTCAGGCCTGCGGTGCCTGGTATATCACATCACTCTTTGTACTTCGTAACGGCTAATAGCGACCCGAACAGCATCAGCTTTTCAGGAAAAGTCGTGGATGTCGCAGAGCCTTGGGTTCGAATTTTGAACATGCTTCCTAAGCCAATTTTGCAGATACTGTGATGGGTTACTGGGTTATGGCAACAGCAAGAGCACGGTGGTACCCACCTCCCTCCCAAAAACTTCAACCAAAAAGAAGCTCACCTGCATGGCCTGGGACTCCTCGAGGATGGGCAAGCCTCGAACGAGCATCGAGCTGGTAACGTAGGGGCCTAGATAATTACCAAAACAGTTTGGGGGATCCATATTATAAGTATAGTGTAGTGTGCCCCAACACCCTATTCTAATTATTAAGGCCCCTGTAGTATTTACAAGGCTGGCAAATCTGCACGGTGATCGGTTAAAACGACCAGGGGCCAAGTAGGCTACGCACGCACCAAATTTGAGCTAGTATTTTCGACTCTCACTCTCGCACGAAGCAGGCAAGGTAAGCTAGTATTCAAGGCCTTCGAAACGACGAATCTTGGATCCATTTTAGAGGTTCCGCACTTTTGGGGGACGTCAGCCTTGCGTGGCACTCGCCCAACTGGCGCCCAGCCTCTGCGACCTCGAGTCTTCTTTGACCCCTGGAACCAAATAGCATCCTGGTGAAAAAAGTCTTACCCAGAGTTCGACAACTCCGGCGTCGAGCCCGCAAAACCCAACTCAACCACAGAGCACCCATCTACCACTCCAAGAAGATCAACCCACTTTGTGTTCCCAGGCCCTTGGCTTGCCTGCGCCAGCCGTCACGGTCTGGGCTGGTGGGAAAAGGGGTCGGACCTCAAAAGCCCGAGACACTTCCACTAGACAGGACATCGCCGCAAAGGCCTGTGTAGATAAATGTCTACTTCACGCGGAAATTGGCCGGAACACGGGAGCCTTTCAGGGTGACTGCACCGAATTCGAAAGTACTAGATTGGCCTTGAAAGTTGCTGGTTTGCGTCTGTTTGCGTTTCAGGCTCTGCATTCTAACCTGGGCTCTGAGATGCTCCCGCAAAAAAAAACAGTAAAACTGGGTCACTGGGTCAGTGTCTCAGGAGCATTATGAGAACCCTTCTGGCATGGTACAGTTCAGTCGACGTCGAATGCGGGCTCATACTACAAATAGTGTCTTTGCAAAGAATGATCCCGAAATCCTGTCACACGATTAGCAGAGGAACAACGCAACACAGCCGGCGCTGCAACTTTGCGGCAGCTGCATGCAATGTCAGCAACTGAAACGTGGTGGCACAAAGCCGAAGCAGAAGTCCCGCGTTGTGAGGCCCGTGCACAGCCCCCAAGAGCGCGCGCGAAGTCAGCCTCCCATCACGAGACACCGAGCACCCAAGGTCATAAGGCGCCGCAGTCTGAGCTGGGCATCTGGTGCAGCCGCCTTTTGAGGTGTAAGCCTAAGCCCTAAGCCTACCGCAGCATGCGGCTGCAGGGCCTAGAAGGTCTCTGAAAGCCAGGCACACTGCTGGATGCTCCAAGAAAGCCGACCAAGTTAATGTAGGGGCCTTAACAGTCAGAATGGGGTTTTGGGGTCCATTATACTATGATTATATCATAAGTATCATAAGGAACCCCAAAAATCGTATAGGTAATTATTTTGGCCCCTATATTAAGGGTGATAGGGCCCGCAAGACCAAGCACCCCGAAACTGGACCACCTGTGTGTCCCCCACGAAATTCTCTGTTTTCTGCCCTCCTCGTTTTATGTCTGGTGGTGGGTATTATGGGGGAAGCATATTGACGTAAGCCGCAAAGGCTCCAACATCACCGTTACGCAAGTGAGGGCCAACCTGGAATATCCAAGTTCGCAAAAGTGCATAGATAGTTTATCTGCCTTAAGGAGCGAATTCGGGGATCCTGCATCCTTACCCGAAAACCGACTGCTCTAAAGAAGAGAATCTCAAAATGAAACTCCTGTGCTCGAGATTTCGAGGAACCCCCAGGGATCTTTTTCCTCCATAGGCTCCTCTGACGCTGGGCCATCGTCTACAAGGCTGGAGCACCTGGCACACCAGACCTGGGATGTCTTTGGCACAGTTATGAAGGTCTGAAGGCTCAACAATGGAATATTTTCCTACGACATTTCCCATACAATGCCATACAATTTATACGCTCCTAAATAAACACTATAGGCCTTAAGCCCACTATATCGTGGGAGCAATGTTCCCGTGTGGAACACAGGGGACGAAGGATTTACCGTTACAAGGGGAGCTTCCGACTGGCACATGTGATGTCAACAAAGCTTCGAAGAGCAGGAGAAGGAACCTCATTTAGGGCCTGGTGCAGGATCGCTGTGCGATCTATCGTGGTCAACTTGTGCTGCTGTCATCGCGGAAAACTCTCTCAACGAGGCGAACTTACACCCACAGCCCCACAGATGTGTACATGCAAACATCCACATGAACACAGACCCAAGTGATCTCTCGCGTTCTGTATTTCGCTGGGGCTGGGGAGGGAACAACCCCTCCTCTCGCGCTGGTGCGCCCCCGCCTACGAGTATTGCGGGGGTGCCAAGAGCTCTCGCTCTCTCTCTCTCTCTCTCGCATTTCATCTCCGACTTCAAGACTCCGTAGAAGTTTTAAAGCATTGCCGCAGACTCTGGCCGAACAAAGTGAGCGGAACAAAAACAGCGAATCAGTTTCCATGCTGTGAAGACATCCAAGCCAAGGCTCGCTCAGCCGAACTATCCTGCCTTGCTCATTGCACAAGAGCATGACCTCGCGTTGCCGGAAGTACTACAGAACCGAAATCAAAACATTGATGTTCAACGAAAGGCCGTGCAACAAACCTCCCACCGTTTAGCTCAGCACCGAGGGTTCATGGCAATGCCCACAACTCACTGGGATTCTACGTTCCGAAGTGCTACAAAGACGCTCGATGCACCTTCGGGCCCCACAAGCAACTGGGAACTTGTCGCAGCGTTGAGGGTTCAGGGAATTTTAAAATTCAGCGTTTGGGGGCTCAAAGCTTTTAACTCCGAGTTTAGTGGCACTTCTTCTGGAAGTGCTGTTCGCAGATTGGCGACAAAAGCCAAGCCGCAACTGAGGCGATGCTTAGGTCCCCTTGTAGTCCTTGAAGCTTAGATCTTACACCATGCTCGGCTTCTGGCGTTGCAGCTGTTGGACAGGCCGATGACAATCTGCGGCATGTCGCGGGAGGGTTGGGAGGGGAGAGAGGCTCACTCTACTCATCTGCACAATGAAGAGGCCTATTCAGACTCAATGCCTGAAGACGCGGATTTCTTTCCACCATGACAAGAGCCTGAAGCCTCTCAACACTTCACAGCAAGTACAGCTCTCTGTCCAGCGGGACTGGAACCGAGCAGCGATTCCTCTGCTCAGCCCACGTACCCTGCATGCCTGCTGTGGGTCCTCCTCCGCCTCTTCCGAGGGGAGGTGCACGTCTTGCTTGCCCCTGGGTGCCGAAGTTCCAGCATAGGGGCTGAGATCTGGGCCGAGCCCTTGCTAAAAGACTGGGGCCGTCTTGGCAAAACGAATTCGACCCATATCTCTCCCATTCTCTACCCAGGAAGCTGCAAGCTGGAAAGTCAAATGCCGCCCTGGGGCCCTAACACTTTTAAAGTTGGATGGAGGTCGAAGTTTGATTGAATATCTAAACATCATGTAGCCAGATTGAGCCATGTTTTCTAAGCCTCAGGAGTTCAGACCTACGGTGGGGTTAGGAATCAAAAGCCGGTGCTCATTACTTCACAGCTTCCCAGACATGATTCCTTTCTGTTTCATTGGATGTAACACGACAAACATACATGCCCGAAGCCTTTTTACTGCTGGGCTCAGGTCTAGCCATGCCCGAAGCCGGAAGCCCAAACCTCACCTGTGTCAAGCGTCCAAACCCCAGGTTTCCACTGAACCCAATCATTACCTCCTGAGACCGGATCTACCGGCCACCCTGCCTAAACCGGAAACAATCCGTGTGGGGGCTCTTGGGACAGTCTCGCACATGTCTGCAGGAATCGCACCGGCAGGAAGTGCGCAGAGCAAGTGCAGATGGGCTGCTCGCCGACAACCTTGGCCAGCAAAGGCAGTATCCTCGGTTTCTGGCAAAGGCTCATCAGAAGGGTCGGCCCAGGAAAGTGAGAGCAACATGCCTTGAATGCATCTCTTGCGGCCACGTGAGGAGGTCGTGGCTTCGGATCGACACAGGTTTGGAGTGAGACGCTGGCTCAGCACGCATCCGCTCGGCCTCAGCCCTCTGATAGCGCCAAGCTGTACGGACAAATGTCGATGCTTAAGCAAGGAACCGGCAACGTGCAGCGGCAAATACCTGGGGTGGTTATGTATGTGTGTGTGTGTGTGTGTGTGTGTGTGTGTGTGTGTGTGTGTGTTTGACAACAAGACCTCAAATCCTGCTGACTGCTGCCCGCACACCTCAGCACGCCATCGATGCCTTGCTCCGATCGCATCGCTGAAGGGCACAGCGAGAGAAGCCTTAACAGTCAGCAGTGGCTGGTTGAAAGCAGGGGATACATCCATGCTTATCATCTGGGTGGTTTGGGACTGCTTTGTTTTTTGAAGGCAAACGGAGGGAGCCGTCCAAGTTCTTCACATGTGCTCCTAGACGGAATTTCAGCCACGTCCGAATCCAAGGAAGGTCCCGTGCAGTAGGGTGGTGCCCCAAAGCACCTTTGGCTGGCGGTTTGCTGTGTGTGTGTGTGTGTACGTGCGTGTGTCTGTCTGACAGCCGAGGTATGTGTGGAGCAGCGTGGAAGGCGCACCAGAAAATCAGAACACCCCCTCTCTGACTTTCCACCTATTGGCACGTTGCTTTACTCAGCATAGTGGATCCTTTAGACTCGAGCCTAAACTTAACTGGTATTCCAGGCCGAAGCCCTGAACTCGTCAGCCACAAGACTCCAGCTGGGCAGACTCATCAAAGAAGCGCTCGGCCAAGCGCAACCGCTCCTGCGGCTCTCGACTTTCAGCACGCGAAGAAAAACTGACAATACAGGGCTAAACCACGTTTGACCATGGTTGTGAACATACCACCTGATAAGATTGAGCATGGCCACATGTCATCCGCCAACACCCAAAAGCATATGCCACCATGCGGATATCGTAATCGCATCACAGTGGCTTGTGGCAACAGTCGTCGTCGCCGCTTGTTGCAGTCGTCATTGTCGTCGTCGTTCCAGTAGCGAAAGAGGGGACGTAGCCGTAGTCATCCGGATCGTGGTTGTAGGTGGTGGTGCTTGTGGCTGTGGTTGCGTTTGCTGCTGATCTTGCTATTGTCATCTACATCTTATTGTCGATGATGCTGTTGCTGTGCAATAGTTGCAGTCACAGGTGGTTTTCGCTGGTGTTGTCAGCTTCTCCGCCTGTAATGAAAGTTGTAACTGTTGGCCCTGTAGCGTTTGTCGCAGCAGCCGTCGTCGTCATCCTTGCAGCACTGCTAAGGCCCTACTAATTCTACCACTTCTGCATTTGCTGCTGCTGCTGCTGCTGCCGCCACCACCATCAGGACGGCTACAGCGACAACGTTTTTGCTGACACTGCTCCTCCTCCACGAATGCTTCTGCCACTGAAACAGCGACAGCGACAGACTACAGCGGTACTTCTACTGCCACTACTACTTCGACGACGAGGGCGACCACGAGGACGTGGAGGGTGTTGACGAGTAGTGGGGGCAGAAGTTGGAGGAGTGGCAGCAATTGTCTTTACAGTAGTTGTTGCAGTCCTGGCAGGTAGCAAGTACTGAACAGCAAGCAGACGTCGCTGCAAAGAGCTCTCGCAGCAAGTCAAGTAGGAGCAAGAGTACGAATGGGTACGAACACTACAGTACCATCCGCGGGCAGAAGACAGCTGCTTCCCCTTGAAGTGGCCCACTTGACCGTGAATGGGCACCCCAAGTCTCATGTCCGGCCTTCAAACCACCGAAATGCCTCCCAGACAAGACTAGAGCCTGAGATCCGGAAGCCCCCAACCAGCCTGTGCTTGCAAGACAGGTGAATACTGGGGCCTCAATAAGTGGAATCGGGTCTTGGGGCCCATTATACTATAAATATACTAAGGAGGCCCCAAACTAGTATAGGTAATTAGTATTAAGGTTCCTCGACCCTTACTTGGCCTCCTCAGGTATGGGCCCTTCAATCTCGCGATGCTCCTGTCATGAGCCCGGAACAGTCGCTCATGTGGGATTTTTGTGGCACGTAATCTCACTGCTAGAGCCTATGTGGGTTTGGGGTTTGGCTTTTGGAATACCAGCGAAAGGAAAATTGTGAATTCTCTTCTTGGTACTGCAAGAGAACAGCCGCTGTTCGTCAGGCTCTGTAGCCCCTTTCACTCCAGACTTCCACCTTTTTGGGACCCGGGCTTGACTGGCATTCGTGACGACAGCTACGATTCCCGGTTTCCATTGCATGTCTTTTTTGGATGCCCTGCACCACATAGCTGGAGTGCTCCTACGGACCAAGGCCGATCAGATCAGCTGGGACCCGACACCCATGCCAGATCCGAGATTGCACAAGCTCAGCATACACACATAAGTTGCACAGGAATCAATCAGAAAGGCTCTCTTGCAATAGCGTACATCGAACCACAAGACTATTGGCTAGTATATGGTGGCACCATGAACGCGAGCAATCCAATAGCACGAGCAGGGGGTCTAGCTGGCTAGCCATGTATCCAAAGGCTGGCTCAAGGGCTTTATGGCCTTTTTGGAATCGAGAAACTAAGTAATCATAGTCATAGTCCTTGACTAAGAACTTCCTGGAAAGGAGACTGCAGTCTAGCTACTCTACTTGTCACCATAATAGGTATTCGATATCAAGGCCCTTAGAGCAAGGTGCCTTAGCCCCTCCCAAAACCTTCTTCAACACCATACCCTCATGAAAGCCGGCAACACCCTTCTCGACCCTTGAAGGATCCCCCTTGAAAGGAACCCATTTTAAAGGAATCGTTAACTGAACCCTTTTACAGGACTCCTTAAACGACCCCGTCCTTCATCAGCCACCAGTTCAAGTCTTCCCAAAGAAGACGCAAGGCCCGGCGGGAGCCCCTCGCACGAACTCGACGAAAGGACTCCTTCAAACTCCGGCGAGTCATGTTCACAATATAAAGTCACCCTTTTTGCACAGGCTTGATTGGAGCTCGCCGGGCCAGGTTGCCCCCTAAACCCTAAACCGCAATATAAAGGCTTGAGCAAAATCGAGAACTGTGTTGGGAGTTTTGAAGTTGTAGACTGTTGATCTGTGACGGAGCATATTTTGAGAATTATACGGTAAGTTGTTCTGGCCCCTGCCTTCTAGTCACTATAGTCTGACTTACGAAGTAGAGTCGAGCTACAAGACTCCTTGGCTTGACGTGTTCGGGGATTGCGGAGTAACTTCGGCGCCAGTCGAACCTCGTCTGTGTGGGCGAAAGGTGCATCCTTGTGAAGGCTCGTTGTTTCTGCATGAGGAGAGATCGACTAAGCAGCTTTCCACCGACTTCCTCCATGTCAAGTCGATAACTGCCAAGACACACTGTGACTGTGACTTATGATTGAAAAATTGTCCCGAACCCACCGATTCAGAAAATGCCGATGTTTGGCAAATGTTGGTTACAACCACCCAAGCAATGCGGTCCAGGTGAATTACCAAACCCTTGTGCGCAACTGCGCATCCTCCCGCCCAGTCTGGCAGAAAAAGGCCTACACTTGGCCTAATTACGGACCTTGCCGCACACTGAACACCCAGCGCACTGCGACGGAGCCGTATTGGTCTCCTTGTGGTACTCTGCGATCTTGCTCCTCACACCAAACCTCTCAGTCCTAAGACGCTCGTGCCGACTTGTGCTCGGTCTCGGAGCTGCTCTAAATTGGCGAGGGCGTTTGCGAAATCCGTAAGGCCGAACGCCTTACGCCCAAAAGCATTCCGAATTCCAAACCCTCAGTCCCAGCTGCAACTCCCCGAGGCGGGCTTCGACTCGTGGTGCAGAGGCTACCGTGGACGCATCCTGGGCGCAACCGACGACGACGACGACGACCCCTTTGTCTCATCTTCTGCTCTATCTCCGGCTCCCACTCCTATACTCCACAAGACATGACCGCACCAAAATAAGAGTACAAGCTATAATGTGTGCATGCAGGCATGTATGTACTTGGGTACAGGCATGTACGTATGTGCATATGTATGTTTACTATGCATGCATGCATGCATGTATGCGCATGTGTATGTTTATGTACAGTGGTGCGAAATATTCTATGTACATTGGCGCCAAATATGTGCATGTTGCCGACGTTCCTCGTCGTTCGCCTGCTGCTGTCCTAGTCCTAAGAACCCGTCTGCTACTACTACGAGGATGGCTGCTACTGACATATGACTAGCATGTTGGCAGAGGGACATTCGACAGCTATGCTAGGGTGCAAGTCTCACCAGCATATATAATTGCAAGTTTCAACGGAGATCTCCTGTCTGCGAAATTGAATGGGTTCGGGCTTGGGGTGCGTGAGTGTGGCCTTGCAGCTGGCCAGCAGCGCGAAAGTACAGGGATGGTAGCAGTTGAAGCAAGCTGCAGATGGTGAGCAATTCTCACCTCCAATACACTGTCAGCGGGCCCGTAGAAAGGATGCGGCTCTTGAAAGTTCGGCATGCTAGGCGGTAGTTCTTGGACCGCGGTCGGCAATCCTTGTCTTTTCCCGCAATAGGGCGGCCATGCTGCTTTGTCGTCCCATTCTGGATCGAAGATAGTGCCGACCGTCTTCGTTGCACCTGGTGTGCAGTTGGGGCTTTTAGGCTTTGACGGCAGCCGTACACAGTACCTAGCTCAAAGAACGAATGCCAAAGGCGAGGCTTTCAACGACATCGCTAGACCCTGCGCGTGCGTACCCGGATGCCTCTGGCAATCATCACAGCATCGCAGCCCGTCTCACGGAGCATGCGATCCTGGCATCTGTTGAAGCGCTCCGGGCTGTATTGAAGAGGACCAAGTTCACCGTAACAGATCTGAGAAAACACAGTGCGATTTGGAGAACAAAGCCGCCATCAGAACCATCAATGTCGTCAACTCTGTCAGTCAGCTCCATGAATGGGAAGTTCAACACCATGTGCTGACAGTAAGAGTGCGGCTGTTGTCTAAGATTTGCTGATACAATGTGGTGAATACTGACCTGGCCGTGAATACCTCTACTGCTCATACAACAACAACCACCACCGCAACCCCAACTCGGCTGCCAATGCTACTGCTGTTGCTACTGCTGTTGCTGCTGCTGCTGCTGCTGCTGCTGCTGCTGCTGCCGCTGCTTTTGCTGTTAGTACTCACTAGTACTAGTAATGCTAGTACTGGTACTAGTGGTACTCCTGCTGCTACTACTACTACTACAACTACTACTACTACGACGACGACTACTACTACGACGACGACGACGACGACTACTACTACTACTTTAGCCACTGCTACTGCTACTGCTACTGCTATTGCTACTGCTACTGCTAAGGCTACTGCTAC